AAGCCGTAGGAGTTGATATATAAGCTGATATAAGCGTAATAATGGCGATTCCTGGCTGGCACCTCGACGCTGGAACACTGCTGAGCATTCCCATCTGGTTCCCGGTAGTCACTAAGTCTCCCGGGTAAAATCCCGCCTACTGTTTTTTGAGCCAAATAGTCAGTTATTATATTAGAAAGAATAATGCAAGAAAGGCGATAAAAAACAAGAAATAACTCCAAAAATATATATGGGCGTGAGCAGACTCGGTTACCAACATCGCCGTCACCATACCTGATATAAATGACTATAATTTCTTGTAGAAACGTCGTAGAACATTCATTCTGGTACCATTGTGTTGCCAAAGAGTTGAGCTATTTTTCAGTATATATAACTCAATTTCCATATTTTTTCGATTTTTCGGTGAGCGCGCGCGGAAAATTGCCCTGTAGCACCCTTAAAACAAAAAAAAATTTTTTACACGAAATATAGATATGGTACATAATACAATGGGACATGATGAATGAAACATTAACAGCATAACACTTACCTTTATTGGCGATTCTTCTTAGTGTATGGAAGACTGGAGGAGGAGAGACATTGAATTACTGTTTGGAAGGGGAATCCCCTTCCATCAGCACCTCAGTTACCAAGTGCTTTTCTGGGGTTACTTCTCTTCTCTGTTCCTTAACCCTTTGACTGTCGCGGCCGTATATATACGTCTTACGAGGTACCGTGTTTGACGTATATATACTCATAAATTCTAGCGGCTTCAAATCAGGCAGGAGAAAGCTGGTAGGCCCACATGTGAGAGAATGGGTCTGTGTGGTCAGTGTGCACCATATAAAAAAAATCCTGGAGCACGCAGTGCATAATGAGAAAAAAAAAACTCCGACCGTTTTTTTTAATTAAAATGCCGAATTTTGTGGTCTATTTTCGTATAGTATTTCTGGTTGTATTCTTGTTTTCTTGGTCTCATTTGATAGAATGGAAACTATATTATAGAAATAAAGGTGAATTTTGATTAATTTTACTATAAAAGAACCCGGAAATGGAGCACAAAGTACGGGAAATGTTGATTTTTGCCGATGTTTAAAAGTAAAAAAATGATTCATTGTCCAATAAATGTCCAAATAGCCATTCTAATATGCAGTCATGAATGGGTTGATGTAATTTTTACAATTACATTACAATTATTGCAGTAGTCTGCATAAAAAGTAAATCTTCTATTTTTTGTTTGAATAAAATTTCACAATAAAAAGCAAGAGTAATATCAGAGGGGCTGGAGACATGACGATGAACAAAGAAAATGTTATTTTAGAGCCAGGAATGTCTGCATTGTTCATTCTGGTCCTTATTTTGAAATTGTCATATTTTTTAATTTTCGTGAAATTGGCCAAATTGCAAATTTCTGACCATGTTATTGGGTAGTTGAAATCGGTAAATGGGCAGTTTCTTGTACTCAATCGATGGAAAAAATGGAGTTCTGAACAAATAGCTATGAGTTTGGTTGACTGGAATAATGGAATTAGCCGAAAAATAGGGCTCAAAGTGGGCGAAATCGCTGATTTGTAAATATCGCCGAAGTCGCTAACTTCGCGAGAGCGTAATTCTGTCAGTTTTCCATCAAATTTCGTTTTTTTTTTTTGGTGTCTTTACAATCGGGAAAAGATTCTCTATTATTTCATAAGAAATAATTTTTTTTTTTTGAAATTTTGCGACACCAGGATTGAGGGTTGCGACAGTCAAAGGGTTAATGCCACTAGGACCAGCTTGAGAGTCACTGGAGTCCTGTCTCGCAAAAAAAACTGTCCAGAGAGCTCTGTTTCTGGCGTCTCTTTAAAACTTCCCTAAAATGGGCCAAGACTCTGTCACTGTACATGTTGCCAACATGGCTTGCAACATCCTTCTCAGGGTGATGTTTCTCCATAAATCTTTCCATCTTACCCCACATTTCAAAAATCTCCTTAATTTCTGAAGAAGGCACCTTCTTCCATCTCTCTTCCTCCTCCTCTGCAGCAAGATTCTGAGCTGCCTTATCACACTGTGTATGCCAGTACGCTTCTTAAATCTCTCAAACCAGCCTTTGCTGGCCTTAAATTCACTCACATCACCACTAGTTGCAGGCAATTTCTTTACCAAATCGTCATGCAACTGCCTAGCCTTTTCACAAATAAGTGACGTCATAAGACTATCTCCTGCTAATTGTTTCTCATTTATCCACACCAATAACAACTTCTCAACATCTTCAAGTACTGGTGATCTCATTTTTGTCAGCATATTTACCCCCTTTGCAACAACAGCTTCCTTGATTTCCTTTTTCTTGGCTATGATGGAAGATATGGTTGTACGGGATTTGTTATACATCCTGGCCAGTTTGCCCACACACATGCCACTTTCATATTGTTCAATGATGTTTTTCTTAAATTCAATCGTATTTCTCACCTTCTTTACCAAAGGCTTGGTACTAGGAGCTTTCTTTGGAGCCATGGTAGCTTATTTAGCACTTGCAAGCACTAAAATGAATGGAATAGTATTATGAAATATTTCGTATGAACACGTGAGGGGGATCGTCGCTCACTGGTAAACAATGGCACACTGGCTGGGAAGGGAGGCCGAGGCGGCTCAGAGCGTGAGTACGCATCCAGGATGAAGGACGATTAGCGAGTTTCGGACCATTTGCGAGCCAATGTTTTGGCAAAATAATGGGACTATTTCCGAAATGGACGACTTTCAGGCTGGACGATTATTGAGGGACCACTGTATTACTCTTGCTTACCATTTGGAATTTTTATACACAAAAAATAGTAGATTTACTGTTATGCAGAGTACTGCATTATTGTAATAATTGTATAAATAATGTCAACCCATTCTCAACTCCGTATTGGAATTTGGACTGGCAGGCGGACAAGTATTGGACGGAAGTATTGTTTACTCTTGAGGTTCGCTAAAGAATAGAACATTCTTGCTACTGTGAGCTCAATTTCAAGGTACTTTTCGTCATGAAAACAATCAGAATCATATCTATTTCTGTAATATATATTTCATTCTATCAAATGAGACCGAAAAAATGAGAATATAACCATAAAAACCATACAAAAATATACCGCTAAGCGGCCGCTAATGGCTGAGAAGTGAACTCCGCTATTTATGGACTGATGTTTTTCATTTTTGGTGTACGTTAAGAAGTATCTTTCCATCATACATTGCCCAAGTTTCAATAAGATAACCCAACAAACGAGATAATAATATAATAATAATAATAATAATAATAATAATATTTTATTTACTACACGTACATATACAAGGTATACAGGCCTAGCTGACATCAGTGACATACTACTATATAGAAAGCCGCTTGTTATGCAGAGTATTTCAAGAAAATTAGGTCAGTTTCCCAGGATAACACCCACACTAGTCGGCTAACACTCAGGTACCCATTTACTGATGAATAAACATAGACAACAGGTGTGAAGAAACACCCCTAATATTTCTACCCTGGCTGGGAATCAAATATTTACCAAAAAATCATACATGGCTAACCCAAGCCAGGTACTAGAAATAAGCCACATTGACTTTTTTGGGTTATCCTAGGTTCTCTACACACATGCTGCTATGTGTGATAATCTATATAGAGAAAATAACTTTTTTGTTTCAGGTTTATGGTGCAGTACGAGTGTATATCACAGTTAGTCCTGTGCTATACTCCGTTTTCTCTAATATAAGCCCCAAGACAGGGATAGGAGAATGGTATTTGTATACCACATCCTCTTCATACCTCCGTCGAACTGCTCGGTATTATGCCAAATATTATTTATTCAAGAGTATTTAACATGTTTTATGTTATTTATATTGCTCATTATGTCATATTAGATCAATTGTGATAGGCAAATAAGCTGTAGTGTGATATTATCGTAATAATAAAGCATATTCTCGTGCTTCACGAGACTGAGTTCAAGGCAACCGACAGTGGCTTCAAAGCCACCTTATCTTTAATGGATAATGTACTGTGTAGGTGCTTTACATAATGAGCCATGGCTAGGGCTAAAAGTAAGCAGGTTAAAACAATAAATGGAGATAAAGAAATTGGAATGACTTATGCGCCACCAAACAGTACCAGCAGGTTGGTATGGCGACCCTGGAAATTTGAAATTATGCTAGCCAAAATTAGTGCCGAATAACTGAAGGAACCGAATAACTGATTGCCGGATTTGTGATGGCGGACCTGTATCTGTGAAATGCTAAGTCCATGTGTCAATCAATGTAAGTACTGGTTGATGTTCAACCCTTCAGCTGCTAGCCACAACGTGGCATGCTACCCAGCTGTACTCACTAAATAGAAAATAATTACAAAATGCCCAAAGTAACAATGTACCCAAAGCACAAATATGCTCAGCATAAGGGATCAAAAATTAATAAAAAATAATTACAAAAAACAGTCTGCTGCATTCATACCAGGATAAATAACTAGCTTTCATAATTGTATGTCTGAAATACGATTAAAGGCTTCTTAAGTACGTACTGTATTTTTCAGAATACGTATAAGGCGCACAACAAAAGTATCTTAACGGTAAATCAGCAATCATATTCTAGGGCTAATTACCCTCTTACTAATGCTAAAACATAACTCAAAGCTTACCCTACCCTTGACTCTGACCTTGAGCATATAAGGTACAGGGTGACTTCCCAAAACCTTTTCTGGGGAAAAAAAGGCATGCCTTATATGCCAGAAAATACAGTATTTTACTTAGGCATATAAATATATAAAAGAATGAAAGAGCAAGGTTATGAGAAAAACAAAAAAAATGTAGGCACAGAACGATTGGATATCAGATTAGAGGGAGGTAGTATGGATAACACAAATGTATTCAGATATTTAGTAATAGACTTGTCAATAGATGGTTTTATGAAAAATGAGATGAACCATAGGTGAGAAAAAAAAGGTGGGTGGTGCAATGAGGCATCTGTGGAGATTTTAGGGTAAAAAAGGATTATGGATTTAATGTCATCTTAAGCCTTACCAATTCATATCTCTGAGAGAACTCTGTGCAGCACATGGTTGTCGACATAAAAGAACAACAACAGATTCTGCTTTGGCAGGGATAAAGCCAAGCACAAACACATTTTTGACAGCACAAGCATAGCACTCCAAAACAGTATCTCGCACGAGTCCATCTTTGTGAAGGCTCACTTCCTGTGGATAAAAATAGTTTTTGTATTAAATGAAGCTCACTTCAACTAAATAGCAAAATATACACTGTGTGAAAGCCGTTTTTCTGACAATTATAAGGGCTTGGACTTCCAGCAAGAGTACTTGAGTGTCTTAGATAGGAGTGAATGGAGACAAATGGTTTTTGGGACCTGACGAGTTGTTGGAGTGCGAGCAGGGTAATATTTTGTGAAGGGATTCAGGGAAACCGGTTAGCTGGACTTGAGTCCTGGAAGTAGGAAATACAATGCCTGCACTTTAAAGGAGGGGTTTGGGATATTGGCAGCTTGGAGGGACATCTAAACTGTTGTATCTGAGTGTCTCTGCAAAGACAGTGATTATGTATGAGTGTATGAGTGATGGTGAAAGTGTTGAATGATGAAAGTTTTTTCTTTCTTTTTGGGTAACCCTGCCTCGGTGGGAAAATGCTGACATTTTAAAACAAAATTAGTAAAACCTTGGAACAAGCTTAAGGGTTGCAAGGCACTTCAATCCCCTCTCTTTATAAGGTAAATTACCAACACATTTCCATCTTCAAGAGGAAACATGATAAATTTCTTGTGAACTGTTCATGATGGCCTCACTAGGCCATCCACAGAATCCCACAAGTATTCCAAACTCCTAACATGATGAATTCAAAACATTTTCATCTCAGTCTCAAATTATTTGTACATGCATGATGCTAAGGTAGTAGGTTGCTAGACAGCAAACACCTAGGGAGGTACTACCATCCTGCCAAGTGAGTGTACAACAAAAGCCTGTAATTGTTTTACATGATGGTAGGATTGCTGGTGTCTTTTGTCTGTCTCATAAATATGCAAGATTATAGGTACGTCTTGCTACTTCTACTTACATTTAGGTCACACTACACATACATGTACACGTTTATTTATACACACTCATCTGACTTTTTTTTATTTTATCTTATTAGTTCTTGTTCTTATTACTTTTCCTTTCATATCCATGGGGAAGTGGAATAAGAATCTTTCCTCCGTAAGTTATGTGTGTTGTAAGTCAACTAAAATGCCAGGGAACAATGGGCTAGTAAACTCTCTTCCTGTAATGATTACTAAAAAGAATAAGAAGAAAACTGTCAAAGTGGGATGTCTGAATGTGCGTGGATGTTGTGCGAATGATAAGAAAGAGATGATTGTGGATGTTATAAATGAGAAGAAGCTGGATGTCCTGGCTTTAAGGGAGGGGCGAGCAGAATCACCAACTTCTTTTTTTTTGTATCAGATTCCAATGGGATTGTGACTGTGAATTAACCCTTAAACTGTCCAAGCAGATCTACGTTCACATGTGTAGTGCTCCAAAAGTAGATCAACGTTTTTTTCACATATTTTCAAATATAAAAAAAAAAAATCAAAGTTTTTTATATGTTTTCAAATGTAAAAAAAAAAGATCTACTTTTTTACATACTTTCAAATGTTGAAAAAAAGTAGATCTACGTTTGGACAGTTTAAGGGTTAAGCAGCTTAACCCCTTGACTGTTTCAACCCCCAATCCTGAGGTGTCTCCTGGTGTCACAAAACTTCAAAAAAAAAAAAAAATTATTTTTTCTTATAAAATGATAGAGAATCTTTTCCCGATTGTAATGACACCAAAAAAACGAAATTTGATGGAAAACTGATGGAATTACGCCCTTGGCGATATTTACAAATCGGCGATTTCGCCCACTTTGAGCCCTATTTTCGGCTTATTCCATTGTGCCAGTCAACCAAACTCACAGCTATTTCTTTAGAACTCCATTTTTTCTATCGATTGAGTACAATAAACTGCCCATTTACCGATTTCAACTACCCAATAAAGTGGTCAGAAATTGGCAATTTGGACAATTTCACGAAAATTAAAAAATATGACAATTTCAAAATAAGGTCCAGAATGAACAATGCAGACATTCCTGGCTCTAAAATAACATTTTCTTTGTTCATCAGTCATGTCTCCAGGCCCCTCTGATATTACTCTTGCTTTCTATTTTGAATTTTTACTCAAACAAAAAATAGAAGATTTATTGTTATGCAGACTACTGCAATACTGTAATAATAGCACAAATAATGTCAACCCATTCATTACTGCATATTAGAATGGTTAGTTGGACATTTATTGGACAATGACATCATTTGTTTACTTTTCAACATCAGCAAAAATCAAACATTTCCCCTACTTTGAGCTCCATTTCCAGGTTCTTTTTATAGTAAAACCAATCAAAATCACCTCTACTTCTATAATATGTTTTCCATTCTATCCAGTGAGACCAAGAAAATGAGAATAGACCACAAAGTCGGCATTTTCATTAAAAAAACAAAATTCAGTTTTTTTTTCTCATTATGCACTGCGTGCTCCAGGATTTTTTTATATGGTGCACATTGACCACACAGACCCATTCTTTCACATGTGGGCCTACCAGGTTTCTCCTGCTTGATTTGAAGCCGCTAAAATTTATGAGTACGTATATATACGTCAAAAACGGTGGCTCTTAAGATGTATACATATATACAACCAAAACAGTCAAATGGCTAAATTGGGAAGATGTACAATGCTCTACTTGACATTAGATGAAAGATAAAGGCTAGATTAATAATGACTCAGAGCAGTTTAGCGATAACGTCAGAAGATTCCATAAAAAAAATGCTGAAGTTAGTAATTTTGTTTTTATTGTTTTTTGTGTATAAAAAAATCATTAAAAACAAAGCTATAGACACTATCACAAATCCACTGTGGGTGTTTGTAGAACCATCATTCCTCAATAACATCTGCAAAAATCATGACAATTCTATCAATATTTATTGCAGGATATGGATTACAGTGTCAATAACTTATTTCTGATTTATTATTGATTTTGTTTGGTGTGAAACCCTACAGTTACCGCATGCTAAATCTGAGCGTGTTGCACCCCTCCTTGCTTGTTGACAGCCTGACGACTACTAAGGTAGACACTGATCGCGCTCCACACTAGCCAGAGTATTTACAATGAAACAATCATAAAAATCGTAATTTTGGGAGAAAAAAAAAACACTAATTACCAACATGTATTTTTGCTGACAGCAGCAACAAAAAAAAATTACATTTAACCCTTTCAGGGTCCGTCCCGTAGATCTACGGCTTTACGTTCAGGGTCCAAACCGTAGATCTACGCCATGAGCTCAGCTCACTCTGATAAACTGTGAGTGGTACATTTGGGCCTAGATATGAGAGAATACATCTATGTGGTATGTGTGCACCACATAAAACAGATCCTGCAGCACACTGTGTATAATGAGAGAAAAAAAATGAAATCATGATTTTTCGATTAAAACAGCAACTTTGCAGTGTTTTTTCGTATGTTTTTTATAGTTGTATTTGCGATTTCTTGGTCTCATTTGATAGAATGGAAGACATATTACAGAAATAGAGATGATTTTGATTGGTTTTAGCACTGGAAATGGCTTGAAAACTGAGCTCAAAGTGGCGGAAATGTTAAATTTTTGCCGATGTTCAAGAGTAAACAAACGACCTCACACATCTAATACACATCAGCTGGTGGGTCTAATATACATTCACAAATGTAGTGATGATATTTATACAATTATTACAGTATTGCATAAGAGTAAATTTTCTATTTTTTGGTGTGAATAAAAATTCATTATGTGAATAAAAAACAAAGGGGAATTTATTTGAAAAGCCTAAAAACATAAAAATGAACGGGAAAATGTTAGTTTAGTCCCAGGAATGCCTAATTGTTCATTCTGGACCTATTTTAAAATTTGGGAAATTTTTTTGAACTTTGTGTTAAATTTGGGCCAATTGAAAATTTCCCCGACACTTTATTTTGTAGTTAAAAAGTTGACTTGCGATTTTTGTGCTCAACGAAGAATAGAAATAAAACTAGTGAAATAGCTAAGAATTTGGTTGATTTGGGAAAAATGTAAATTGGCCTAAAATGGGAGTCAAAGTCGGAAAATCGCCGATTCGTAAAAATGCTGAACATCAAAATTCGCGGAGCATAATTTCGTCAAATTTTCCCCCCAAATTTGTACTTTTTGTTTTATTACCTTTACAAAAAGATTCTCTCGATTTCTTAAAAAAAAATAAAAAATTTTTTTTTTTAAAAATTTTGGAATGGTGCGTTTTTTCCGATTGGGGGGTTGGACCTGAAAGGGTTAATGAAAAAACATATTATAAAAACGATTAAAACAAGAAAATTACATCAAAAGTTTCCAGAATTTTTACTTCTTTCGTAGAAAAATTTTTTTCCATAATTTTTATTTTTTTTAAATTTCCCGAAACTGGAAAAAAAGGGCCCCCCCCTCCCCCCCCCCCCCCCCCCCCCCCCCTTTTTAGGGGCCAAAGGCCCCAAAATTTTAAAGTGCACACCAGTGTCCAAAAAATTTTTAAAAATAATTGTTTTTTTTTTGTGAAATGGTCGAGAATCTTTTTCTGGAGGGAATAAAACAAAGTACGAACTTTGATGGAAAACTGCGAAATTATGCTCTCGTGAAATTTTGATGTGTCGCGAATTTTTGCACGGTGATTTTGCCGATTTTTATCCCCCTTTCAGGTAATTATATTACTCCAGTCGACCAAAATTTTAGCTATTTCATGATTACTTCTATTCTGTCGATTGAGCACAAGAAACGCCAAGTAAAATGTTTTGATAAAAAAATAGTGACCGAAAGGGTTTAATTTTGGGCCCAATTAATGAAAGTTCAAAATATTCAAATTTGAAAAAAAGGGTCCAGAAAAAAAAATGCGGATTCCGGGGAACCAAACTAACATTTCCTCTGTTCATTAGTTACGTTTTCAGGTTTACAAATGAATTCCATTTTGATTTTTTTTCATAATGAATTTTTTTCAAACCAAAAAAGAAGATTTTTTGTTATCAAACTGTAATAAATTTTTTAAATAAAATTTACCACATTTGTTAAAGTATTTAGACCCCCCAGTGGCATGTATTGACGTGTGGGTCATTTTTTTACTCTTGAACTCGGAAAAAAAAAAAACAC